GGGGCGGATAGCATAAAAGAACAAATTTCGTGCAAAGAGGGAAAGTAAAGAAAAATGCCTATAAATATCCCAGCAAAAGCAGACGCCCGAAAAAAATTCGCGCAAGCTGAACCCCATCCCGCCCCATGACTTTTTAAATGGTCCGCCTCTTATACTTTCTGGCGTTCTAGCATGCGGTCTTAAATCACAGTGTATTACTGTTTCTTAATGTCCTCACCGTTTAATAAATATGTATATATTGAGATATTTAATATAACGACACGCATAAGAACACAAGGTTTGTGGGGTTATGGAAGTGTGGGACAACTGCTCTATATATTGTATTTTTTATCTGCGAAGAGCTGGGTGCTGAGCGGTTCCCAGGGCATATACTCGTATTGAAAAGCTGGATCTTGGGGAAAGTCGATTAGGACATATACTGATTTGCAGCTGGGTCCTAATCTGCCCAAGACATATACTTTTACGGATTTAGAGCTGGGTCCTGAGTCGGCTAGAACATATACTCCATTTAGAGCTGGATCCTAGCCTGTCCTGCAAGACATATACTCTGAGCTGGGCCCTGGGAAAAAATGATCAGGGAAATATTTCTTAGAACACTGATCTGGCTCAGCACATATACTCATATGCAGAAATAGAGTGATTTTTGTAAATGGGAATTGGCTGTATGCCAGGTTGCCAAATTCCGTAAAGAAAACGTGAGGTCTATGGTAAAATTGCGACCTCATACTAGAGCAATTGCCTCCACAATCACACAACGATAGTGTGTGTGATCCCCACAGACCGACAAACAACGATCGAGTGTTTATTTCACTCTGCAATCAATCGTTTTGAAACGTCTGTAAGGACATTGATTGGCGTGCGAATATACCTGAGGTAACAATCGGAAGACCATCTTCCTAGCGTTTGAATAAGCCAATGAGGCAAACCTTGGGACGCAGCTGTGGTAGCCGCTCCGATTCTAAAGCTGTGGCCTGCATAGTGAGCAGGGTGATGACCACCTTGGGCCAAAAGTGTTCGTAGTTCCTTAGTAAATTGACTACGTGATAAAGGAACACCGTTTGAGTAGCAAAACAATGGTCCCGCATAGTCCGTTGGCGCACGTGAAAGGTAGGTTTGAAGGGCCCTTACTGGACAATATATACCAGAATTGCTGCCAATGGTTATTGTGGCTGGGGCTCGAAACGGATCGGTTTTTGACGCTTTAATTCGTAGTTGCAGAAAAACCTCGTTATCCCCACGTTTTTTGTTATGAAAACTTACATCTGATCGGCAAAGATTTGTT